TTCCCTCCTAAGAACCATAGCTCCAGCCTCAAGGCTCCGATCCATGATAGCCCTACTGGTGGTTAGTGGCGAGTGAAAGAATGGATCCCTGTACTCACGTTTGGTTAGCTGGGAAGGAGGGAATGGAAAAGAACATGGAAGCTACTATTTAGGGTTCGAGGTTTAGGGTTTAGAAGGAATGGAAAGAAAAATGGAAACCACTATCTAGGGTTTCGGGTTTAGAAGGAATGGAAAAGAACATGGCAACTACTATTTAGGGTTTAGGGTTTAGAAGGAATGGAAAGGAAAATGGAAACTACTACTTTGGGTGTAGGGTTTAGAAGGAATGGAAAAGAACATGTTAACTACTATTTAGGGTTTAGGGTTTATAAGTAATGGAAAGGAAAATGGAAAAGACATGTTAGCTACTATGTAGGTTTCAGGGTTTAGAAGGAATGGAAAAGAAAATGGAAACTATTTTAATGGGTTATAAGGACTACCACAAAGATCCATTCCTTCATTCCCAGCTAACCAAGGATGAGCGTAATAGGCCCTATACAATTGCGCGCATGGTCCCTACATCTTGTCCCTTCCTAAACTCTAAACCCTAAACATTTGACCTGTTGCAGGCATTCATGGACTTGATGATTTGCAAGGCAGAAGCAGAGGAGCCGACTGAGCTCGTGGAGAGTACTGGGAAGGCCGCCTTCAACCTCCATCTGTGGGTTTCCAAACGTAGCTGGGGTCTTCCACCACCCAGAAATATAAACTCTGAATTGCCAAGGACCCCCCACAAGAGAGAATCTGAAAGCCAGCCTGAAGGTAGGGGATCAAGTGTTGAAAAGTTTTTTCCTCTCCTGCTACAACCCTAAGCCCGAGAACCTAAAATCTGGACCCAAACCTCATCTAAACCCCATCTAAACCCTAAACCCATCTAGACTCCAAACCCCAATCCCTGAGCCCTAAGACCCAAAAGAGCCTCCATCCTCCGAGTCCAGAGCCCGCGTACCATGTTATGAGAGCTTGAGCAGGCACTTCGTAGGTTTATAGGGGTTATTTAGGGGTTTAGAGTTTAAGCTTAATGGAGAACCAAATGTACAAGAACATGGGAAGTGAAATGACAACTGGGTTTATGTAGGGGTTTATTTAGATTAGGGCTTCAGATTTGGGGGTTTTAAAGAGCTTAGTTATATTAGGGTTCTATTGCTGTTATATTGGGGTTATACAGGATTTAGGGTTCAGTGTTTCCAAATTAGCGGGCACCTTTATTGGGCTCAGGCCTTAGGAACTTTTATACCCCCCCAGTAATGGAGAATAACATGGAAAAGAACACGAAACATGAAATGGAAACTGGGATAATACAGGGGTTTGTAGGTTAGGGTTTCCCAAAATTAGGGAGTACCTTCATGGGGTCCCAATAATATGGACTACAGTATATTGGGGTCTACGTTGGGGTCCGCCAATTTTGAGGACACTACCATTGGGTGCAGAGTTCTGAGTTGAAGGCTCTAATGTGCCATTTATGGGCTTCACATGGCGCAGAAGTGTGCCGCTCCTTCTAAATTTCGGTTTCAAGCTGGCATTTCACATGGTTGTATTTACTTATGATGCATGATTCCTGGAATATCAGCGCTTTCAACATGGTGTCGGCAGTTGGCTGCCTTCATGCTCACTCAATTGGTTTGTTTGTTTGTTTCTTGGTGTAATGGTCGATGGTCACGGAGCTGCGCAGTCTTGACTGTTTTCAGCGGAGGTCTCCTCTGTCTCCGCAAATGTGGACGAGGCAGGTGCGGTTGTCATCTGTTTTCTTGATTATATTGGAGAGTTCCCTTTTCAGAGCTGAGAGTGCTGCAAAAAGCAAATGACCCGCCAACTAAAGCTTTGACCAAAACCTTAAACTCCTCTACAGTGATATGGTAGTGTTCCAAAATAGGGGGACCCCAATACAGACCCCAATAGAGTATAATCCTTATCATCGGACCCCCCCAAAAAATGGTACCACTAACTTTGGGAATCCCCCATATGTTCCAAGTTCAAGACTGGCGTCTCTCGAACCCTAAACCCTAAACCCTACCGGTCCCGTAGGGAGCATGGCTTTTGGAGAAAGGGTCCTGTAAAAAAAAACCTTACCGGTCCAGTCCAATCCTTTTACCACGCTCATTACAGTCATGGTCGGGCCGCGCCTGTCTGACCTATAGTCTAAACTCCTTTAAAGGAGGTTATATAGGGAAATATATAGAGGACTACTATAGGGGTTATTCAGGGGGATGCTCGGAGTTTAGACTATAGCCCTGACGATAATCGCATCATAGTTGTGCCCACTGCTGCGACGACTACTGTTTGCACCGACTATTGACCAAGCCCTGCGCTATCACTCAGGCCTTGACTCCCTATGAGTCCAGATGTGCGAAGCCAGCACGCCATCAGCGCAGTTGCAAGCAGATCAACAGCGAAGTTTTTTCCCCAAAGTTAACCTATGCGATGCGCAAAGTGGAGCCCTATAGCTCCTTCCATCCCACATACCCTTTCATCCCACGGCATGCCGCTATTTGGAGAAACTCGTATTGCTGGAAAGACATGAGCAATCAAGGCCACAAGTGATGCCAAGTGGACCATGTTGGAAAGCAACCTTCCGCTGCTTGCGAAAAAACAGAAGGGTGCCCAGCAAGAATGCAAGAGATCCTCACAACTCTATCACAATGTCTCCAAATCCCTCCTTAGAACAGGTTCTCCAAATCTAGAATCACATTGAAAAATATCTACAAGCCAGGAGGAGGTGTTGCGTGATGTCTTGGAGCTGAAAAGCGCCCCCGGCTTGGCCCCCCGCAGCGACTCTTTGGCAAGCACCACAACAAGTTCGCCACTTGGACTCACAAAGCTGGGTGGCTGTGCGGCCGTGAAAGGGTCCTGTTATGGTTTAGGATTTAGCAATTGGCCCTGATTGTCGAGCTACTCCACGAAAAGGGCCTATAAAATCCCTGATCGGAAAACTTGTATCGGGCTCGCAGACGGTCTGCGGGGCCATCGTAGAATGTATAGAATCCTGCAGGAGTAAGGCGCAACGTACCCTCTGTGGTCATGGGCACGAAGGTGACGTAAAGCATCACTTGTAGGTTCTGCAAGAAGCACGAACGGTGCCATGACTGTACATGTACTTTGGAGCCCAGCCACATGCCGCCGGGCTGCGTTTCCTGCCAGGCATGTGTGAAAGCAATGCTTGACAAGTTTTCTGCTGGTCAACATTCACTGTGTCGTAGTTGTCCCCGCATTGCCATGCATCAGGAGTTTTGTCCAGGGATTACAACCCCTAGTCAGAACCGATGTCTAATTTTCAGTGTCCCTAAAAATGTGACATTGAAAGAATCTCCGTAAGGAGAATTGTCCAAAGTCTATTGGTTGCAGCCATTTGGAGTCTTCTTGAATTAGACGGCCCTAGGGGGCTTGGGCATATGTGGGGATCATGAGGAATGGGAGGTCATAGGGATGCTTTTGAGAAATTCCCATCCGCAGGAGCTCCCAAAGCACGAGCACAAGGAGCAGCAACGGACGCGTCAAGACCAAGACAGATTGTGTCGTCTGGACCTCAGCTTTTGAAGGGGTTGAGGTGTTTGTTTTGGGTTTTAGGGTTTGGGGTGAACAAGATGCAATGGATTTATATGGGCGTGGGTCAACAGTACGAACTCCAGCTACCACGAAGGGCGTGGGATGCAAAAAAATGATCACGGTTTTGGCATATCCGCAAAAGAGCAGTTCTGCAAGTTAGGGTTCGCCTGGCTACACAGGTTAAAACAATCCTGAAGATAGGGACCGCAAAAAGGGTCCTCATATTTTCAGAAACCCAAAGCCCAAAACCCTAGCGCTCTTCCATGACTGGTTGACATTCAGGACCACCTCAGCGCAATCCCTGTGTAATCTTCAAGAGACACAGGTATCCTCCTAAAAACGGAGGAATGGATCCTCGGAGAGTGTCACGCCGTGGGGGCCACTTAGTGCGAGGAATAGATAATTTCCACTAAACTCAACATAATCTTAGAATTTCAGGCAAAATGCCAGACACATTTACAGTTCGTCCACGAGCGCCCGTATGACGCCCAACTAGAGATGATAGAGGCTGAAGTCATGACTTAGACTTCATTGCAAGCCAAAACAACGCAATGCCAAAACTGGTGCCTGCAGTGCGACGTGGTTCCTGCACGTGAGCCCTCAGGCGCCAATATTTGTTTCGTTTTGGTTCCTCCATTCCCTACTAGCAGCCAGCAAGCAAACCGTGAATTTGGAGAAGCGCCCAGGTCGCGGAGAGTCGGAAGGTGCTGACCACTACCAAGGCGTCGGGCTTTGTGCTGACCCAACATGTAATAAGCTGGAAACAATTGTGAGCTAACCTGACTTCAACCCAACGACGGTTTACATGGATGATTGCCCAGAACGGCCCTGTTTTGAGGTTAACGTATCAGTTTAACCTTGCCAGACATTGAAGATGCATCTGCAGAATGCAAGTAATCATCTGAGTATTTCTGAAAAGCTTAGTGCTTCCGTATAAGCCTTAAATACTTCATCTCAAGGATGTCGCAGCCAGAGACCCGCAATGAGAGATCCACATTTGTGTATGTGTGATGGCACTTTATTCTTGGTGGCAGGCGGCACTTTCCATTATCCCTATACAACCCCAATATATACCATGTTATAATGTAGTAGTTTCCATTTTCTTTTCCATTATCCCTGAACCCTAATGTTACAATGGACTAGTTTCCATTTTCTTTTCCATTATCCCTAAACCCTTAAAACCCTAAAACCCAAAGGTCCGCATCTGCACGTTCCTGAGCCAGAACGGTTTTGATGCAGTCGACGTGAACGCCAAGAAGACAAAGTTGCCCCCCTGCTGCCTTTAGGGTTTAGGCTTTAGGGTTTAGGGTATGCCTTCCCCTGCAAACTGCAAATTGGCCAGTGTGTTTTTCTAGTTCTACATGTCAAGCCATCTGTTGTTGCAAGTAGTGGGGTTCGCCTACATTGAAACAACTGAGGATGGGACTGCAGTTCACCTACCCCCTCCACGTTGCAGTTCAACAGAGACTTGTGCTCACATGAAGGTGCAAGGTCACGCACTTGCTATGCAGCACGCACAGTGCCCCCCCGACCAAAAGTGCGGACTTGTCTCGACTGTTTGCCAGTAGCCCTGCAGTGGCACACTACCAAAGGCTGTGTGAGCCGGGCGCAATGGCCAGCGTTCTCTTGCCAGAAGCGGGTAGTGTAGGTAGCCTCGTGTCTCGCCCTGAGGAAGGATCGCGAGATGATTTCCCTCCTGCTACGCTTTGGCGCCAATCCGAACCGACGCGACTCCTGGGGCAAAACAGCTCTGGACTACGGCTCCGATGATGAGGAGGCCCAAGAGACGAAAGCATCCGAGTTACCCACATTCATTACTATAGTAGTTTCCGTTTACCTATATATCCCCAATATACTATAGTAGTTTCCATTTTCTTGTCCATTATCCCTGTATAACCCCAATAGCGGTATAGGAGGTCTTGAAGGCGGGCTTTTAGGGCTTCGGGAGTGATGCTGCTGCGCTTCTGGGCATGACACGTTAGAAACAAACCGCCAGAAGTAGCAGTCCGAGGTGGTCCGTGCCTTTGCGAAGAGGACGGGATCACTACCGTTCGCTGAAGTTGCTGAGCTTTGAGTCTGCGCTACTCAGGTGTAACAATTTTTTGTATAGATTGGGTCGAAGATTGGGCCCTATACCATGGACACACCCGCCGGACAATGCAGTGTCAAGGATTGTGAGACATATCCAAGGGCAAGGCAACACCATCCGACACCGGTCAATCACCGTCCACACTCGCGCTCATTGCCATGCGTAGTAGGCAGGCCCATGTTGATGGTCGATGGCTCTGAGTCAGAAACGTAGCATGCGCTTGCGCCGAAGGCGAAACGCCGCAGGCATGGGGTCATGTAGAACAATCTCAAAGCGGCAAGACTATTGGAATGTAGAAGTTTCCATTTTCTTTTCCACTATCTCTACATAACCCCAATATATACCCTATTATAATGTAGTAGCTTCCATTTTTCCATTATCCTTATATAACATACTCATCAGCTCTGAGGTGGCATTACCCTTGGTCGTGCCGTAACGTACCTACCTCTACAGTAGTCAGTCAGGACATCAGCGCCAGCAGGTCTGGAGACATTCTTCGCCAAGGCGGGTCCATGACAAGCTGATCATCCAAGCATTTCGAAAAGGTGCTGAGTGGCGCCAGAAGGTCTGCGTTATATTGTGGAATATTGATAGCAGCCACAGGAGTACTGCTTCCAATAGTAGCAAAAGCTTCTTCAGCAGGGACACGGTTATCCTCTGAAAAAACAACTTTCCGATTTGTATGCTGTGTGGGGGATGTGTAATCTAATGTAGATCCCTGATTACTGACCCCCCTCCCATTAGTAGAGATTAGAACAGGGATCCTAATTATATTCATCAGGGGTCTACATTATGTCGGGGGGATTCTCTGTCAGGGGAGATGATTGAAACTATCGTTTTGTTCACCAGTTGACAAGCTGGCCTGCCTGAAAAAACTGCAATGGGCTTCTATATGGGGACTATATTGGGTTTCGATTATATAGGGATAATGGGAAAATGGAAGCTACTATTTAGGGTTATTTAGGGGCTACGTAGGGATAATTGGAAAATAGCATGGGGAAATGTACGGATTATAGGGATTATATTGCACGGTTTCGTCTAAAAAATTATCGCGTTTTCTTTAGGCGAGACAGGTTGTTGGCTCGAATCATTACAGATACTCCAGTTAGTGGGTGAGCGGGTGAAGGACCTTCATGTCAATGTGGAGTTCATGGACGGGTGCACCATAAGAGGTACATAAAGAGTTCAAGCCCTGTGAAACCGGGTCCCTGCGTGACGTTTCATGGTACAGGGCATCCAAGGGAGCCGTTGAGCATGACATCTTCTCCGGCCTGACATCAGGTTCAGCAGGATCCTCTGGCACAGCGCCGCCTGGCACAAGTTCTTGCAGGTGGACGTAGCAGCAGTGAACTAAGTAGCCAATCGCCAAGGCCAGAGGAAGATGTGAATTGGCTGCGGTTGATGACGGTGGCCAGTTCGTTCAACACACAGAAGAACACAGCCGGATTCCTTCCACAGGCCCCTTTGGCTGCATAGGGCTTTACCGGATGTGCAGAACAGCGGCCTGCAAGCTTGCTGTGCACGCAGGAGACCGGCAGAATAAATTTCCCGCGACCTTCCCAGATCACTCAAGCCTGAGGATGGCAGGACCATTAGCCTGTAAAGATTTTCTTTCCGCCCTCTCAACGCAAGCAAACCTGAAGCCTGGAGGGCTTTGACACCTTTCAGCTCGCGTTTAGATATTCCATCTTTCTCTTGAGGTACAGGTAATGTATTGGACATTAATGATGATGTGGAATGCATGAGACAATGGACCTGCAGACTTCAGAAGGGCTTTCTGCAATGGCCGCCCAGCTCGTTGGTCCTTCATCCCGCCTCTCTTACACTGCCTGACGTGTAAGTTGTTCTGGTGTGTCAGCAAGACGTTTGGGTTCACTGTGCCTACGCATGTATGGAAGTCTCACCAGCTATCTCCAGACTGCAGGGAAGAAGGAAACTCACGGCTGCGCGGACGCAGGTGCACGCCCAGGTGTTGAATTCGTTGTTTTTGCAGCTGGAGATGATTTAGCTGGATACCATTCAGTTCGCTCCGGCTGCTTGCAATGTATTTCAAGGAGCAGCACTCCTGGTGAGGCTGCAACCCCAGAGCTGTGTCACAGCCAGCTCCTGCGCCACCTTCCGCGGTTCTGCTTCAGGGTTTTAACCTACGGATTGAAGAGTCCATCTTGAGTTTCATGAAAAGACCTGTTTGTTTTGTGTCAGATGGCCCCCTTCATGAACGGATCATGTCAAGCACTGTCAGCGCACATCCGAGTGCACAGACCTGGGGGTGTGCCTAAAGTAGTCCCAAGAATCCCTGGGTTTCTCCGCATAAGCACTCGACTATTAACAAGGGTTGTACAGCAGGGGCCCTGCTGAAGACACTTACACGATATTTACACTTTCTAAAGCCACCCTCCTCATTGTACCCTTCTGTAGGTCCGTGGTTCAGGTGCACGTGCTGGAACATGTTGCAGTTCTGATTTCTTTCCAAGGCACTCGTGCCGGCATGCAGCTCAAGCCTTGGGGTTCAAATGAGCCCTGAACCTTAATGTGACTATGAGGGACCCAGGAGCTTCTGAGGGGCCATAGTAGCCCCTTTATAAGACTGGGTTTCATTATGGTCTTTGGTGTGTGTACATGGGGGGTTCCTACTGTACCCTATACATCCCTATACGATCCCCAACAATGTGGTAGCTTACGCTTTCTGTTTCATTCTTCATTCCCCAAGCTATATGAGGGGTTCACGCGTAGATGTACTTCGCTATCGTTCATGGCTCAAGGAAAAAGAGCTGTGCCCGTTGTGCTGTGCGAGTTCTGTTTGGTTTTCTCTGCTGTTAGCCATAGGGTATCAGCCGTAAGCTCTTCAGTCTCGCGATCCACCCGAGGGACCCAGAAGCTCTGTCTTTTCTTCCTGGAAACATGTGACCTGGCCCCAGGAACGAAAACGCGAACACCTTTGTTGCCCGTGAGTTGAGGGATGCCACGGGGGCTTCGCTCGTGCTTCGGGAGAGGCAAGCTGATGTCGCGGACCATCGCGTCGCGCTTAAAGCGCTGGCTAGACTTCATGCGGCAAATCATACTTCGGTACCCGCAAAACCAGCGGAACAAATGTCCGCAACTTCAGCAGTCTACAGCCGATTGCTTTGATTTTTTTTTTTGACCAGGTCCCACAGTCGATGTGGGTAATGTTAGGATCTTTTTAAACGGACCCCCCCGCCGGGCTTTCCGGCGGACCACTCTCGAAACAAAGGTCGGGGTCGTAACAAAACATTCGGTTCCCTCCACATGCTAGGAGAACGTGTGTAGGAGTAACAGCGATGGGAGCAGGCAGGCACTTGCTAGCTGTTGCGCAGTGTCTCAGTCAGCTCGCGCTGCGTGGCCTCCATGTAGCTGGGTCGGGCATCAAGGCTGCCTCACACCACGGAGCTCATCTGGCCCCACTCATCAGCTGAAATAAAATCCGTAACGTCGTGCGCAAGGGCATGAGGAGGTGGTAGAGGTCTTGCGATCAACGCCAGGCTGCAGAGTTTCGATGAGCGTCGGCGGTCTCCAGCTCTCCGCGAGCGCGGGCCTTGCCCTGCGCTTGCGCGAGGGCGGCAACTCCAGGCGATCAACAACGCCTTTCAGCATGTGGAGCGGAGGCCATAATCTCCTCGGTTGCCCTCAGTCGGCGCTCGGGGTTGGTCGGCCCGTGACAACGCTGCCCGTACCTGACACCGCTGCTCAGCAGAGTAAGCTGACGCTCATCATGGCCAAAAAAGCCCCCTTTCAGGACGTAGGGTGCAAGAATCCCCTGCAAGATGTGAAGTTGGTTAACGCCGGTGGTGTGCAAGAAGAAGAGGAGCAAGAACACGTGGAGGTTATGGCAGTTAGTCTGGAGCGGCAAGCGGCTCTTCATTATGTGTGTGCAACCTCCCAAATGCAAAGAAATGGGAAGACGAAGAGGAAACATGTGTCAAAAATAAATTGTTGGCGTGGAGTTTGCCCTTGCAGATTGAGAAGCAAAGTTTTGTTCTTTGCAGCGCTGTTGTACGCAAACACACATGTAGCAGAAGGGAGGGAGCAAGCGCTGCAGGAGCTCAACTACAGCAAACTCAGCGCAGATGGCAAGCCTCACACAGGCCTGGCGCCCATTCCTGGCACCTCCCACATTCATTGGTGTCGCCAATGACGGGGCCAGGGGTGTGACATTAATGGGGATTGGGTGATGGCATATTGAGGGGTACCGCCACTCGGGAGAGTTGGCTGAATCGCTTCATCGTTGTGGTTTGGATGTTGCGAGCAAGCCATCAGCAGCGAGGGTATGTGAGCACGAACCCAAGTTTTCGTAGCATGCCAGCGCACGCCTCCCGGAAGGGATGGCTTCACTTTATCTGCTCAAGCAGTGTACTGCCATGTCCTCTCCAAAGTACTCCAGAGTGTGCATCAGCCATAGTTTTGCACTGCCAAGCCTAAAGCATTGTGCTAACAGCTGCTACTGCGGTCCTTTTCAGCCAGTGGAAAGCACCTCGCCGGCGGGAGAGTAGAATTTCCCCAGGCTTGAGCCGCAGCTCTTGACACTTTTGCAGTCTTATAGCATAGTAACATCCCTTCTTGTGTTTGCTTACCCGTTGCACTTACAGGGCGCGGGGGGTGCGGTTGCACGTTGATGTACTTCGCTATCGTTCATGGCTCAAAGAAAAAGAGCTGTGCTGTAAAATGCTTTGCGCCCTACCGTAATGTAGACCCTATCATTCAAGTTCACATCTCATTTTCCATGTGGTTGTTCATCGAGGTAGTTTGCATTTTCTTGTCCACTAATTGACCACCTACAAGCAATAAGTCTCGGAAACCTTGAAGCATGTACGCTCTTGGCCTCAGCTTGAGCTGACAACTAGTGAAACGTTATCAAACGGTTGCGGGGATTTCCAAAAAAGTAGGGTCCTTTGAAAATGGGCTATCAATGAATCAAGATATTTAGTGG